AAAGAAAGAAAGAAAGAAAGAAAGAAAGAAAGAAAGAAAGAAAGAAACTATGTCCTGATTGAATGTATTAGGTATAATATGTATAGAACACCAGTAAGTCCAGTGAAACATAGCAATGACCATTTTATTTCACCAGTCACCACAAGTTTCTATCTTCACCTGCACACACTTCAGAGCAGATCTCGTACAAGAACATCAAAGCACGTGGCTAGCAGAGCACTGGGCCCGCTAATCAGCTTCATCAGCGACCAGAGTGAACCAAAAAGGGACCTGCAGCACCAACTCGGGGCGCACGTGGCACAGAGCGGCTCCCCGCAGCCCGGCTCTGCTCCAACAGCCTCCAGCTGCGGGCGCTGCCTTGCAGCACCACGGACAGCGGCCTCCCCGCGCCCGGCCCGCGCCACGCAAGTCTTCAAAACACGAAGTTGCACCCTTTTCTCATTGCTATTATTAATAACATTATTTTCCGTCCGGAATATCTCGGTTTTTAACACAGATTGGTTGGCCAGATTCTCAGGACACAATTCCATCAACTGACAAGTCTAGCATTCAGAACTGAAGGTCTATCATTGGCACTATGTTCGTTTAGTTTGCTTGTATATCTCATGTAAGCATTTTATTTCAACAGCTACTGGTCCATGCTTAAAAAAGGATTTATCTTCATTCAGTCTCCAAAATGGAATTAATATTTGTATATTTGTTACTGCGTGCACTTTCAGTATCTTTTATATCACGATATATTGCAGACTGAAAGCACCATTTGTGGTAAAGTTCAGCCTGATTAGATAGCAATATGAAAGAAAATCACTTCTATCCTGAAGATTCATTTGGCAGCCGAGAGCAGTAGGTCAATTTCTAGGTTAAGGAGTTACTGAAATGGCAAAGATGTCCTCACAGCAGTAGACATCTATTTATATTTGACACGCTTTTTATTTATCCAGTTTACGCTTTTTTACTTAAATAATTCACTCTGGAAATATATTTACACCACCTGTAACTGAGTGTATAAAACATACATGACTCCAGAAACAAAATTACTAATGAAACTACTTCATTTTTGCCAGGTTAAATGGGGGGGGGAAGGAAACTTTCTCGTTTTACCCAATGAGATAACAGGACATTTCAGCTTCTGGAGGGGCTGGGAAATGATTTTTCAGGCAAATATGTGTAAAGTACACTACCTGAAGAGGGAGTAGGATGCTTTAGGGATGTGCTGTCACCATTAAGGGATTTCAGAAGGCCCTGCTGAAGTTACGGAGCACTGATCCATTGCTAGGCCTTCTGCTCAGCACAGGGATTTGTACGCACTGTTGTGCTCCACTGCTAAAGCAGGATTGATTCAGATTGGTTAATGTAGTGAGTTAATCCAGTTAATCCAGTACAGGGTAGAAAACATTCACCTGGCCTGGCACTCAGTAAATATACGAACAGGGAAAATAGTATGCAGATAATTATTTAAAGTGCAAATGATAACACTTTTTTCTCGTCCTCTCCTGTCTTGAGAGTTAGGCCAGCTAATCTTGTGCAAAAGTACAGATAAGACAACAACTCCAAAGAACCAAAGTGGGACCCTGCCTTCCAGCAGAGGAAACCAAAAACCTCCTTGAACGCTCACTTCTGGCCCCAAAGCCAACGACCGAGTCCTAAAGAGATGCCATCACCAGACAAGGGTCACCATCACTTCCCAGCCAAGGATTACAACACTCCCCGCACACAGCCACCTCCTTCTCGAGCCCTTCCCTCTCCACAGACGCAGCCGAGCACTTGGAGGCAGAGATCCCGTCCCCACTCCACCGGGCCAAACGCAGACAGGAACAGACCCGCAGCCCCCAGCCGCAGCCAGAGGCCGGTCCGCCCGTCCTTCGGGCAAAACACAGAGCCCGGATACCCCGCGCCCCTCACCGACCCTGGCTGCCGTCTCGGGCCCCGCTCATTGGCATGCAGACCCCGTCGCTGCCTGCCGCCAAGCCGCATCCCAGCCCGCTGCGAGCCGGCAGCCGAGACGGAGCCAATCGCATATTCATGACGAGGGGGAAATCCAGCTCTGCACTCCCAGAGGACCAAGAATCACTCTTTTGTTTTTTTAACATTCCTCCTCTGCCTGCCTCCCTTAGAGCAGCGCCCACCCGGGGGCTCTGCGCAGCGTCCCCAGCTGATCCCACCCGCGGACAGCGGCCGCCGACGCCAGGCTCACCCCGAGCATCCCCAGAGCGGAGCTCCCGCACAGCACAGCGCAACGCGCGGAGGGAGGCGCGACACGCGCAGACGGAAGGCACCCCGGCAGCCCGCCACCAAGGGACAGGAAACACAGCAGGGGCTCCTACCTTACAATCCTCAGGACACGATTTCACCGAGTACTCATCCGACTGTAAATACTTCTGGAGCATAACCTCAAACTCTTCGTATTTCTCCTGAGCGTGCTGGTCGTAGCGCTGGTAAGCCTGGACGCACTGGCTGCAGGAGCCTCCCCCCCTCAGCACCACATCCAGACTGCAGTTCAAAGTGTCCGGATTGGACAACCCGGCGAACAACTCCCAAAGTGTGTAGGAATTACAAAAGGAAAGGTAAAAATCCGTCAGTTCCCAGACGGGCGCCGGGCTCTGCCCCGCGCCCCGCGGCCGCCCCGGGTCTCCCCGCCGCCGGCACACCGCCTCGGCGTCCCCCACGCTGAAGCAGCGCCCGGACGAGCGGCCCGGCGGGGGGCACGTCTCCGGGGGCGCGGCAGTGGAGTTCCCCAGGAAGGCAGCCTCGCCGTGCCGGGGCTCGCTGCCTCCGCCGCCGCCGCTGCCGGGGGAGGGAGGGAGGGAGGGCTCGGGGGGGGTGAGGAGCCGGGGCGCGGGGGGTGACGGTTCCCCCATGCCCGGCGGCAGCTCCGGCTCCGCGGGCTCCGGCTTGTCGGGCGGCGGCTGTTCCTTCTCTCCGGTGCCCGTGAATTTGGCCTCGGCGCAGAACCACAAGTGATCAGAGAGCAGGACCGTGAAAAACAAGAGCGATGCCAGGGACAGTCGCCATTTCTGAGCCCTCTCTGAATCCGCGAAGGGTTTCTCGTTCTCCCGGGATGCGAACCAGATTTTTAAGCCGTCGTCATACTGCCGACTGCACATCCAAGCACCCCTGGTCATATTTTGGGAACGCACAGCCCTGGCCGACTCCACCGTGAGGGCTCCTTTGCCGGTGTCACCACAATATGCATTGACTTAAAAGATTGGGGGGATTTTCTTGCCTGTCTTCCTTTGCTCGCTCGCTCGCTCGCTCCCTCTTCCACTCTCCCCCTCTCTCTCTTTCTCCCTCTTCTTTCTTCTTCTTTTTCTTCCTCTGAGATAGCGTCTGGGTCGGCCGGTGGCTCAGCCTTGGTCTCGCCACACGAAGCAGCCCCAGTCCATCCACCGCGGAGTGCCGCGGAGAAAGCGAGAGCGGTAACGCAGAGAGAGGAGGAGGGAGAGGAGATGGTGGTGGTGGTGGTGGTAGTTGGTGGCGGCGGGGCTGAGCGACTGGTCCTTTCCCCTCTCACCCAGGCATGGTCAGAGCGCAGCTCTCCATCTCCCTCCCGAGAAAAGCCCGCTGCCCCCGGACAGCCGCATGCCGCGTCCCCCGCTGCCGACGGACGGCTCCGGGAGGGCTCCTCGTCTCCTCTTCCTCCCCGCCGCCGCCGCCGCTCCTCTTCCTCAGCCCCAAGCCGCGGCACAGATGCTGCACCGCTGTCTCCGTCCCCGCTTTCTCCTTTCCCCCCTCCGCTCTAACTGGAGAGACGCTGCTGCAGGGCTCCCGGAGCGCTGCCGAGGATGCTGAAGAGGAGGAGGAGGAAGAGGAAGAGGAGGAGGAGGCTGCCGGGGCCGCCGCCGCCGCTGGTGACAATGAGCTGCGGCTGCCGCCGCTGCTGCCGCCGGGCGCGGTGTCCCCGGGCGCACGGGGCGGAACTGCCTGGCTGGGGGCCCCCGATGGCCACAGGCATCTTGGGCCCTTGGGCTAAGTTGCCGCCATCTTCGTCCTGGAGAAACACTTTTTTGGGGGGAGCTCTGCCTTTTGCGTCATCTCCTCCCGCGCCGAGATCTCTCTATCCTGGCGCATTGGCAGCAGCAGTAAGTCTGCCTCCTCCTGCCTGAGGAGGAGGAGGAGGTGGGAGAGGCACTGGGGACCACATGGCCCTTCCAAAGGACCTCTTCAGTGTAACTCCTTCCACTCGCCTCCCTGCTTCCCCTTGCTGAAGGCACTGCTCAGATCCACGCTCCAGCCCTCTCTCCTCTGCAGGGTCTCCTTCCCCTGTGTCCCCAAATGCCATGTCCATTCAGGGTGATGGCTGCTGTCATGTCTGTCCTGGTCCTAGCGAATCACAAATGGCACATGAAACCCCAGGGGCTGGATCCCAGCAGGTTTTGGCCCCACAGTAAAATGCCTGAAAATAGCTTCCTTGCCTTCCTGTCGGTAAGCAGGGAAATGCCCATAAACCCCAAGCTGATCCCACATGAGAAGTTTTGTAGAACCTGGTCTGGCACGCTTGAGCTAAGTGCTGCCAGTCTTTGCTGCCAGCCTTTTGGATGTCACTGCCTGGAGAGAGAGACAGAGAACATGGTTAACTGTCTTACTAGGGTGATGAAAGCCAGATAGCTTGTGATCTCACACCCACAGCAGAGATCCCACTAACTTCTGGACCATACCAGTAGAATCTCTTGCTTTAATGAACATAGTATTTGGTCATTCCCTGAATTACCTTTATCTTGCTTGCTGAGGCACCTAAACATAACACCAACGGGTTCATTTGGATCTGTCACAAGACAAGAGAAAAGGTTGAATGTTATCAGATGAAGACCACTACCAGCCTAGTGTTACAAGGTCTTACTCTCAAGACATCATGTATGCTTCTAGTCAGAGCACAACAAAGATGTATGTTCTTATTTTTCCATTGGATTGGAGAAAGTCTTAGAGGACACGCCTATCCTCATTCCCAAGGTTTTCTCCATCCAGAGGGAAAAGACCATTTGAAACTGGTTAATGTCCTTGAACAAGGTGCATGCTGTACCCCCAAAGCTAGCTTTCCTCGTTATTTGGTTAAAGAAAGCTTTATCCTTTACAAACATGGTCATGGTCTATAAAGTGATATCATTTCTAATATCTGGCTCTCTAGTTCTCTAGTTGGCTCTCTAGTTCTGTGAAATTAAATCTGAAACTAGACTAGACCAGAAAAGGAAAAAACTTGAAACTTTTCTGGCTGCAGATGTCATTAACCGAGGGGTGAGTTTACCACTGAATGTACTGGAATTTCCATCGCTTTGAGAAATACAGCAAGGTTGGATGCCTTTCAGAAGGAAATGGTATAACTCAAACAGAAGATGTAGACTCGAGGGAGGAATTGCTGAGTGAGGCTTTATGCCCTGTGTAGTGCTGGGGGTCAAGGCACATTATCATAATGGTCTCATCTGGCCTTAAAAGATCTATGAGTCAAATTCTACACTGAGCAGAAGTTAACTGTGGATTTTGTTTTGATAGACTATTTAAAAAGACAGAAATAAATGCTGGTATTGTAAGAAAAAGTCTACAGTGCTCAATCAGAATGCAGTTTGCAATTCTCAGTCAATCAGCTCTCACCATCTGCTAATGGTACATTATTAATTTTGGTCTTGGAGCTTGGATTCTGATGATTTGACATACTGGGCCCTGTAGTGTAACTGCATTTTTGTAATGCTTTCCATTCTGAGAGATGACCATGACCGAGCTTTTAATCAGAGCAACGTGAGTTGTCTGATTCACAGTGTAATTTATTTAATTGTATTTTACTTCTTTGCTTATACATTTTTCAGTAGAAAAGCAGGAATGAAACAGAAAAAAAAAAAAGAAAAAACAAACAAACAAACAACTGGAATAAGCAACAGGTTTTGATATCAGGAAACCTGACATTTTCAGATTTTCAGAATGCATTGTATAAGATATGTGGCACTGGCATGATTATTTTTGATTTGGCAGTCAAGCGAGGTGAAGGAAGTCAGTTTTGGAGTACCCAGCTGGCGAATAGGCTTGATTTTTTTTTAATGTATATTGTTTTCCTGTGGTCCTGTTGGGAAAATGAGAGGGTAATAGGCAATTTTGCCATCCACAGGGAAATCAGAAATGCGCTTTATCTCCATAGTTGAATTTTTAGAATTGGTAATAAAAAATACTGGTATCTAGACTTCATCTGAAAGTTAATATGAGAATGCAAGTGTAAGTCTGTGCTCCTCTGTTTACACTTGACTAGGATCAAACAAAATACGCTTCCAATCTGCTAGGATTTTTTAGATATACTTGTCTTCTATGAAAAATCTCAATATTTTCACACATTTCCGAAGTTTTGTCTGGAAAAATAGTGAGAGTTCTTTTTCAAAACCCCACAATAGACTACAATGAGAAGATGTTCAGCATTCCTGAGATGTGTGCATCCTTGCTCTTCCAGTCTCTTTTCTGTAACAGAGGATGTGTCATGCAGAACTCTTGTCTCATCTGTTATGTTCCCCCCAAAGCCCCATTCCCTCTCCACCCAGCACACTGAATCTTATTGTGTTGCAGCAGCTGGTTCCTGATGGATCTGAACAGATGCAGTTCAGTTCTCTGGTGCCCCTTAGTGTTAGGTCTTGGAGCTCGAGGGAACAAAATAAGGCTATAAAACCATATCTGAAAATCATGAAGTGACTGTGTGTGGAGGAGGAAAGAATCTGAAGGATATACTGTTGCCGCTTTCTCACAAAGATCCTTTAACATTTTGCTATCACAAATCTGATGTAAATAAAACAATTTTGTTTAGACTAGGCTAATTAATTATATAAACATGAAGAAAAGGGACAAACTATCCTAAAAAAATACAAGTACGTCCCCATATTCATTATTCGTTCTGAAAAACTGCATTGGTGCAAAATACTGACTTCATATAGAAATCAGAGTTTTTCTTGGGAATATTTATTACATGTGTTCTGAAGCTTAGCAAGTTCAAAGAATTCATGAAGGTCCATCTCTTTAGCTGGCACGTCACCAGGTGTTCTGCAGAGCGGCCTCCTTAGAGCAGTGTCAGTGAGCGCCATGCTTTGGTCAATACAGTCAGTTCTAGTGCTCTATAGTTCTTTGGTTCATTACATGTAAGATGATAGTTAATTGATCAAGCACTGAAGACAAAGCCTAGCAGAATGAACTTGCACAAAATCGAAGGTTCTTGAAGCTGTTGCTCAACCTAAATGCCATGTGTTTTCCTCAATTTCTCAAATGCTTTAGTTTAACAATCAGAAATAATTCTTGACCAAATGTTTTAATGGGTAATAATCATCAGAATGATGATTAGCATCGGAAGCATCAGAATGAGCAGCTTTAGTATTTCAAAGTAAATGTTCTTAAAAATTTGCCTAACATCACACATACTAGCATCCACAATTTCCTGCATTAGCCTCTTGTTTTTCTATGATTTTTTAGTACAAAACTGTGATAGCTGGAGAACCATAAATGGGTCTTTCAGATGCTTTGTAAGAAGCTTGAAAGCAGTATCTTGCCTTTGTAATGTATTATAATTGTATTGTTTATTTATGAAAAATTGTATTTCCTAATTACAAAGCACTTTTTTTCATGTGTAAAATCTTGCGCCAGGCTCTTTTCAAAATTGTAGAATTTGTTTTGAGTTGTCTGGTTCAACTGGTAAGTGCAATTTTTGCAGCAATTATTAATAAGTCCTCAATTAAAACCTTACATTAGAATGCTATCAAGCACTTCTAATATGAAACAAACATTTACAGGCCCTTCATCTTTTCATCTTACATCATTATTTAATTTATTTATTTTTACATTTGAAACAATTTGTATTCCATAGGAAATTATTTGTAGGCAAGATGATAGGCCAAACATATGCTTTAGCATCTTTAGAGTTTAATAGTTTTGATTTTATTTTAATTTTTTACAGTCACGTCTAGGTATTATTTTACCCATTACCTGTGAAGAGAGTCAGAGATTTAATTATCTGCATCTGTTAATTGACAAGAATGATATCCATGCTGGTTCTATAATATGATCAATACTGAAGAACTTTTTTATTTTCTGCCTCATTCATAAAGTTATACTTTTTCATTCAGATTTTTTTGGAAAGCTAAATTATTGTGAAGAAGCTCTTGGCATC